TTATGGCTTCTTTTACACCCTCATCTTCATGTATTGTATCATCTAGCAATGATCTGAGTTTATTGAATCCTGCAGCATTGTATTCACCATGGTATTTCAAATACCATCCAGACACCGGCCTGACACTGCAACAGTAGATACATATTTTTTTTACATATCATAAAATTTAGAGACCTTGCCAATGGATATTTTTTAATTAAAAATTAAATTGTTCTTTGTGCTAACGACAGCCACACTTTGACACAAGCAGATACTCTACCCAGGAATGACTTTTCAATCATTTACTCAGTCAAGTGTTGTTGTTGTTGTTTTTCTTGAGCTTTTTTTCCCCCTGTATGTGGCATCAAAGAGTTTACTAAGCAAGATTCTAGGGATGTAGAGAATACAAACAGTTTCCTCATGTACTCTTGGTCAGAGCAGAAGCAAAAACTGGCCAGATCCCAGAGGCAGAGGTGGGCCTGGTTGCTGAAAGCCAAAAGAGTTCCTGCAGGTAGTGAGAAAGACTTTGGGGAATGAACATTATTCTGATATACAGTCAAAGAAGAAATCAGTATCAAGAAATTTGTCAATGAATAGACGCCAAGAGCAGAATATAGTAAAGTGGCTTGATCTGGAGACTTGGTTTTATAATGAAGGAGTCAAAAGCTTGTTCAAAGGAATGGATGTGATGCCTGAACACCCAGCCAAGGTAAGAAAGCTTGTGTGAACTTGTTCTGATTTTAAACCAGGTAAAATTTGACAAGATCATTTACCTATGGCTGTTCATTATAAAGTCATATTACTCTATGGCCAGTATTCTCCACTCCCACAACCTAAGGGAGCCATTGCACCATAAAAAAAAATTATAAAAAAAATAATAATGATGGAGTGCACCATAAAGAAATGGAGTGCACCGTAAATAAGGCTGCCTGTCAACCTTTAATTTCCTCTTTTGTACATGGTCGCAAGAAATTCTTCCTTGTTTCAAAAGCTAGTATTAACAATGTGGTTTATAGGTTTAACTTTTGAATATATTATGTTGCTTATGGTAATAATCTTTTACTTAAAATTAAAAGAAATTGGCTTAAGAAATCAACTGCCACCATCACCACTCCCAACAAAACAACAGAGCAACTTAAAACCAAAACCCTGTGGCAAGCTGGTGAAAACAGAGTGCATTGTTGTGACTCAGTGAGTCACAGTTTCAAGCAAGGCCTTTGGAGCTGCCCCGCCTCTGGTCTTCCGCTCTGTAGATACAGTGTAAGTGAGTGGGGAAAACCCACTGCTGGGAGTCAGCTCCAGAACACAAGGCAGTTAAGCCAACTTCTGAGCTTTTCCTGTTATTACTGAGTGCTGTTGTTAGTGTGCCCAGTCAGAACAGACTCATAACTGACCTTTCTGTGGATTTTCAAAAGCAAGAGATCACATGGGAAGAATCTGCCCATCTTTCTCCCCCGAAGCTACTGATAGATTTGAAACATTGGCCTTTGGGTTGGCAGCACAACTCCTTACCACTCTGTCATCAGAGTTGTTGTTATTATTAGATGGTGTCAAATCGACTCTGATACATAGGGTGGACGTGATGTGCAGCAGACCAAACACTGCCTGGTCTTATGTCATTCCCTCTATCACCGTTTCACTGTTGTGTTCATTGCTGCAGGCATCTCATTGAGGGTTTTCATCTTGCTGACTCTCTACCTCCCCACACATGATCTTTCTCTAGGAGTAGCCCCCCTCCCCCGATAATATGCCCAAAGTAAATGAGACAAAGTTTCTTCATCTTTGCTTCTAAGAAGCATTCTAGCTGAACCTCCTCCAAGTCAGGTCAGTTTGTTCTTTTGGAAGTTGTGGTATATTCGTTACTCTTCACCACCACTACAATGCTAAGACATTGATAATTCTTTCATCTTCCTTATTCATTATTCAACTTTTACATGTATATACATGGTGATTGAAAAACATCACGATTTAGGTTAGGTGCGCCTTAGCCCCCAAAGTGTCATTTTTCTTTTTTATCGCTTTAGAGAGTTACATTTTCCCAATACAATACACAATTTTTCTTTCTTGTATACTACATTCATGGACATTGATTGTGGATCCAAGTAAATAAAATCATTGACAGTTTTAAATGTCTTTCCATTTCTCATTTTGTTTCTTGGTCCAATTGTTAGGATTTTATTTTCTTGATATTTAGATGTAAATCATACTGGAGACTTCATCCTTGGTCTTTGATCTTCTTTGATCATCATGAATAAGTACTCCCACGTTGTGACCAATTCCATCTTAGTTTTTGATGCCAATGCTCAAAGGCTGAGTGTCATCAAGGGAACATGCAGGAAACTGATTCATAATGTAAGAAATGCCTCCTAAGGAACAAAAGAGGAAAGGATATTTTCACGCTATAATCCAAATCCCCTTTGTGGTAGGGTTTTATTTGCTTCTCGTTCAATTAATTCATGCGTTCGTTCAACAGATTGTTTACTGAGTTTAGTGCTAAAATGTAGTGAATACAAGTAAATTCTTTCTTCAACACTTTTTAGTGGCAATCAGGTAATTAATTACACAAGAAAACGTTGTGACATAAAATGTATCTGTTGCTCTGGAACCTTGAGATAAAGGGACTTGACCTAATTAGGACATTCATATGACTCTGGTAATAAAGTGGTTATATAGTTGGGCTGCTAACCAAAAGGTTAGTGGTTCAAACCCACTGGATACTCTTTAGGGGAAGGATGTGGCAGCCTGCTTTCGTAAAGAAATGCCTGGGGTACCCTCGAAGGCATTTCTGTTTTGTCCTGTAGGAATAAGCTTAGCAGCGAGGCTTTTAGTTTTGAGGCTTGAATCTGTCGCAGAACTAGACTTTGACAGAAGTGTAGGCAAAAAGATAGTGATTCCCAAGCATAGTGACCAGCAAGAGAGAAATTTCTCTCAAACTCTCAGTGTTCCAGTTCTTACACTTTCTTTCCTGTTTTGTGAATTCTCCCCATGCAATCTTCCGTCATCTCTAGGCTTCTGATATTAGACCTTCTCCACTTGTGCCTTTATCCTCTTTCTTTTAACTCCTGGTAATCCTCTGTGCTTCAGTTTAGTTGTCACTTCCCTTGGCGTATCTTCTCTGAGTAGTCTTAGAACCTGTTTTAGATGCTTCTCAGGGCTTACTTTTATATTACATATGGTTTTGCTTCTGTGTACTCTATTAAATAACAAGCAGGACTAAACCTTGTTCATTATATCTTCAGGGCACTGAGTTGTTTTTGTTGTTTTGTGCTGTCGAGTTGCCTGCGACTCATAGACACCCTATGTACAACAGTCCTAAACCTGCTCTATCCTGTGCCAATCTTATTGTCTCTGACACACCTACCCCATTACCCCAGGTCACTGAATCAATCCATCTCATTGAGAGTCTTCCTCTCTTGCACTGTCCCTCCACCCTCGCAAGCATGACATCCCTCTCCAAGGACTGATCCTGCCTTGCAACGTGCCCAAAATATGTCAGATGAAGCTTCAGAATCCTTGCCTCCAAGGAGCAGCCAGGTCTCACCCTCTCCAAGACGAACTTGTTTGTTCTCCTAGCAGTCCATGGTATATTCAATACTCTTCTCCAGCACCACAGCTCAAAGGCATCAATTCTCTTTCTATCATTCCCAGTCATTGTCCATCTTTTTATGCATAGGGAGTAATTACAAATAGTATGGGTTGCATCAGGCACACCTTAGTCTTTAGACTGACATCGTTGCTTCTTATTACTCAATAAATATTTGTAGAAGGATTGATTGAAGGAAGAAATGAAGGAACAGAAGGTCAGAGAGCAGGTTATATAAGTCAACTGATGGTAGTAATAAAAATGACAGCTAAAATTTCTATGTCACTTGCTCTATACTATGAATTCTATTGTAGGTGAATGGTGTTGCAATCCTGAATGTTTGAATCCACCAGCTGCTTCACAGGAGAAGGATAGACAATCTTCTCCTGTGTGATTGGTGTTGTGTGCCGTTGAGTCAGAACCAACACAGAGCTGACTCTCTAGCAGGTTTTCAGAGGCAGTAATTGCATGGAAGAAGTTGGCCCTTCCTTCCTCTTCAAAACCTGCTGGACGATCAGCTATGGGTCGGTTCAGAATTGATGGTACACAACAACACCTGTTTGATCCTCTCAACAACTCGAGGAATTACGTACTATTATTTTCTCTATTTTACTGAACCCCTTTAACTCAAGTCTTCTCATTTGTACAAGGTAGATAGTAATACTATCTACTCATAAAATGTAGGATGATTAAATAAGCGAGTGCCTAGGCTGGAAAATATTGGCACTATGATCCCTAGTAAAATTATTTAATAGTGCAAAGAGATGAGGCAGTGAGGCCAGAGAGAAAGGCTCCTGCAACCTGCAGAGGTAGCCAAGTGCCTGGCACGGGCCTTTTAGAGGTTATCTGATACCATCCCCACAGCCATCAGCTGAAAGCTTGTCCAGACTACCTGCCTCAGGGGCTCTGAAGACAGCCTTTCCAAGGCTTCAAAATAAACAGACACAGGAAATCTTAAAGCAAACAAAACATGGTTTGAGGGAAACAGCTGTGCTGACTGATGAAGGCAAGCATCAGAAATGAGAAAAGGCACTAATGGCGGATTTCTGTGCCTCTATCAAAAACCGTTTGAGCAACCAAGTATCCTGTCTCAGAGCCACTAGCCAGGCTTCTGCTTTTGAACTCTTTTTGTCTTACTGTCCTTCTTCCTTCTGCTGAGACAAGAGAAAGGGAGTAAGACGATGAAAGTGAGGCGATGCCTCACGATGACTCAGGAGGAAGCTCAGCCACCGGCCTGGCAAGTATGGCAATGCCTAGAGAAGGACTTGTAGAGGCAGGTCCCAGTTAGATCCACCCCGGAATAGGAAAAAAAGACACCTACTTCATCACAAATTCTAAGACTTCCACATTCAGAAAAAAAACCTGCTTCCCTACTGACAACCCTGGTCCAATGTTCCAAGCAGGGCCAGGGTGAGTAAGCCTGAGGCTTCACTAAGACATGACCCACAGGGAAAAGGTGCGTCCTGTTTGCAGCCTGATATTGGTGACCCTCCTGGCTGTCCTAGGTCTGCAACTCCTACCCTTGGGAGCCAGTGTGCAGCTTCAAGACAATGGGTACAATGGATTACTTGTTGCAATTCATCCCCAGGTTTCTGAGGATCAGAACCTCATCTCAAACATTAAGGTGAGTGTCAAATATATTAAGTCAATGCCATAATTCCATTGGGAAAAAAAATACAGCTTTCTTGTAAAAGCTAGCACCCTGCCTGGTTTCCAGCTGAGCCCTCGGGGAAACAGCAGCTGTTAAAAGGAAGTGCCAAGTTATGAATATGGTTGAGCACATTTGTTCTCTGTGTAGTCTTTTGCTCAAAGAAAGTTGATCTTGCTCTCTTTTTGTTGGGTGTTACTTATTTTTTTCCATCTTTTAAAAAAAATTTATTTTAATGAAAGTTTACAGAGACTTTGGATTTTCATTCATCCATTGTTGCACTTTTCTCCCTGCCCACCCCTTCCCCCAATTCACTTTTCTTTTGATAAGTAAAAGAAAAATTCTTTCACTGTTATTCAATCCCTCTCCCCAAGTCCACTCCACTGTGTTACATTTGTTCTGAACTCCTGTCATAACAATAATATTTAATCATATATCCCTCTTAAACAGTTCTTTCCCTCTTTGGTTTATTTCCTGACTGTGTTTTGAGTTGTTAGGTGCCTGTTGCATTAATTCTGATTCATAAAGACCTTATGCACAACAAATGGAAACCTGGCCTGATACAGAACCATCCTCACAATATCTGCTATGTTTAAAGCCATTTTGGAATAAGAACTTAATAAATTATAATAATAACTTACTGCTAGTGACTAAAAAAGCTGACATTTGAGTGGAATAAGCTTCACAGGACTTCTTACAATCATCTTTTAGAATTCATCCTGACTGAGAATTCTCAGGAGAAATGATGAGAGTGTGGGCAGAGCTCTGGAAAGTTAACAAAATTTTTTATAAACAATTTCTTTTACCTGAATGCTGTGTAAACTAGTTGAGTATTTGTGTTTAAATGATGAGAGCCCTCAGTATTACTACTCTACATTCATCATGAGGTGTGGTCTTGAACATGCCCACAGGTGTGACATGAAAAGGGTTTGTGCTGTAAGAACTGAAAAGCCTTTCACAAAAATGGATAAATCACGCAGGCAAGCCCAGACAACAGTGAGAGCCCTGAAACAGCTTCCAGATAACCATTTCAAATTTATGTCTTAGGCTCCTAACTTTTTCCAAACTCTAATGTATTCTCTAAAAGAAATAGATTCCTTCAAAATAATTTTATTAGTATATTTTTGTTACAAGATATTCAGGTATAACCAGAAAACAAAATAAAAAGGACTTACACTGGTACATTGAGCTTTTCCTTTGTTTGGCAATAGGAAATGATAACTGAGGCTTCCTTTTACCTGTTCAATGCCACCAAAAGGAGAGTGTTTTTCAGAAACACAAAGATTTTAATACCTGCCACATGGAGAGCTAACAACTACAGCAAAGTAAAACAGGAATCGTATGAAAAGGTAAGAATTCAGAATTCCATCAAACAAGTTTCACTTAAGTGTATAAAAAAAAAACCCAAATTCTACTCTGTTCTACTTTTTGAGTGAAAAATTGAGCAAAATAACCATTGGTATATATAATATATAAGTAATCTTAATAGATTATTATTCACATATCTAATGGAAATATATGAACACAAATTATAGAATAAAAATAAGTTAAAAAATATTTCTAAAGTTTTTCAGAAGATCTCCTTGTTTTATAATATAGATTTCTTTCTGAAATGTTTGAGGAGCAAAGGTTAATTTCATCCTACTAACTATGAACTACAATGAGAAAAAATTGCAGTTATGAGTACTTTCATTTACTATACTGTCAGGGGCAGTAAACTTGCATGCTCAGACAGAAACATAAGCCACCCACAAGCACCAAAACATGAACACCCTATTACTCCATAGGATAAACCACCAAGTGTAGATGAGCACAAGTCCAGGATGCTTCTTTTTTTTAAGTAAGGAGAGAAGAGGAAAGGAAGGGCTATGGGGGTAAGAGGCCAGCAAGTGGCTACTTTTCCTAGAGCAACTCTGAGAAAATGGTTTGGACCATGGTTAAAATCCAATAACATTTGGCATCTACTTTATGCATTCTGTGAACAAATGGCAAATTGCTGTGCACTGCGAGTCAATCAAAGGGAGCTCTGGTAAGTCACTGCACTGCCGAGCCAAATGCAGGTGGTTCAAATCCACCAGCTCCTCCGTGGAAGAAAGGCCATTTCCTCCAGAGATTGATAGCCTCTGAAAACTCACTGGAGAGCGATGAGGTCATCAAGAGTCAATAATAGCACTGAGAAAGGTCAAGAGCAGAGGGATAGGAGCTTAGCTGGGGGGTGAGCCATTGAGCAAGTTCAGCACCTCTAAGCACAACTCCAAAGGAGCAGCAGGGTTTTCCTGGCACACTGTCCCCTTTTTCTTACGTGTGCTATTTGGTATGAAATTTTTTCAGTGATTATTTTCAATTTAGATCTCTCTGAGGCTGCTTGCTATCTCAGAAATCAAATGGCACAGCCATCTAGATAAACCCTTCTGCTCCCTGAAGTTAATCACTACTAGTTGCTATTGATCTAGTTTGTCTCATGAAGTCATAGTAGACCTGTGCTCCATAAAGACTTCAAAAGTAACAATTTTTTTTTCAGTGGATCACCCAACAGTTCTTCTTATGCACCTCTAGTGAACTCAAACTTCCAATCTTTTAGTTAACAGATAAGCACAGTAACCATTTTATCGCCAAGGAGCTCTGAAGAAAATTTAAGAGATTCCTAAGGTATCTGAATTATGACCAGATGAAAACATTTGATGATGTTTGGTGATAGAATTAGGAAAAACAGGGTAAATTGGGAAGAAAGTGTTTCTTAAACTTCATTTACGTACCAGGCACTTTATAATTATTAACTCAAATCTGTTATACCCTAACAGTTAGGAAACTGAGGTTCAAAAATAGTGAGAACTTTGTCCCAAGTCAAATAAATAACTTGCAAACTACATATGTATCCTTTAAATCCAAGGCCTTTTTATTTTGCATTATTCAATGTTGCATCCAGTTATCTACAGAGACTGGAGTAATTTTCACTTCAGCAGAAGAAAGAAGTAATGGAACAAAGAAACAGCCAAACCCTGTTGCCAAAGGTAGCAATCCCAATCCTTGAAAGAAGAAAGATCAAGAAATTACTTTAAAAACATGAACTATATGACAAAACACAGGAAGTCACTGAATTTCACTCATTACTCCATAGATACCAATTGCTTTAACATTCTTAATGCCATTTAAGCCAATGCTCAGTGAATAATAGCTACCCATGAGCCATGCTAAGTTCTGCAGGGTACATAAGGACAGCAGAACAGCTGCACTCCTAATGTAAGTTATACAAGGACAGGCGGGAGGAAGAGATCAGGAGATAAGCTCTGTATTACTACGGTATATTTAAGAAAATAAAACTCCAAACAACATCTGAGTATTCTATCCACCCCATACAGGACAGATTTCCTTTTTCTCTCAGGACAGATTTTCAGACTTGGGAATGAGATGTATCAAAAAAGATGATTTTTTTTTTAAAAAGTATCCAAGTGCATACATTTATTGTTACTTATAGTAAATTTTTTCCTATTCATTGTCAAAAAGAAAAATATAAAAACACAAAACCTTCCTCCTGTACCAGTCAGATCTGATTTGACGGTACACATAAAAATAATAAAATAAAAAAATAATTAAAAAAATACAAAACCTAAAAATACAACTCCTCTATGGGACATAAAAAGCACCTATCTATATCCACTAATAATGTCCTCTACATACAGCATCATATTTATTATTTCATAACAGCTTTTTCTTTTCTCTTTAAAAATGCATTTAATTACACAGACCCAGTCCTGACACAACAGGTTATCTTACCTCCTCAAAATGAAAAGAAAAAAGTTATGAATAAAATAATTTTGATGTTATTTGAATAGATAGTTACCGTTGCTTTGATCACCTTTGAGTGCTATGCTTTTAGCTTTGGTGCTAGATGAAACCGTGCAAGGTACAAGATGAAATATAATTGCATAATAATTATAATTCTTATTTTACTTATCTGATGAGCTGTGGATATGAAATGACAAAATAGAAAAAAACCCTCAGTGTCTCAGACAGCTGTCAAGAGGCAAAAAAACAACAAACTTCTGAATAATGCGTAAATGTTCTTAAATTTTATTCAAGTATTTTTTACTATACAATATAGTATTGTTTAATGTCAAACTTTTTCAGGGTTAATTTTTGAGAAAAATCTAATTTGGAAAGTAAAAAGATCAAATAAAAATAAAGTTGCAAGGATATGTACGAAACATTTAAAATCTTGGCACTACTTTTTAAAAGTGCTGAAAGGTGATATTGATATATAGCTATGAGAATATTTTAAACTTTATCTGCAAGACTTTTAAAAAATCTGTTTTCAAATTGACGGAGCTCTGGTGGCATAGTTGATTGGGTATAACCCAAACACCATGCTTTTCTTGAGGTTCAAATCCATCAGCTACTGCAGAGAGGAAAGATGGGAAAATCCTTCCAGTGTGATTTACAGCCTCCAAAACCCACTGGAAGGGCAGCTATGAATCTGTTCTGACTCTATGGTAACAAAGGTTTAGGATTTGAAAATTGTGGTTATAATTACATGTAAGGGAGCTCTGGTGACCTAGTGGTAATGTTATGGCAGAAAATGTGAGATTTAAACACCCAGCCAATACTGGAGATTAACAAACCTTTTATTACACACGGATCAAGAACGTTAGCTATAGCCCAAACTGTTCTGACCCTGGGGAAAGCAAAAATTGCAGAAGCAGAGATTGAGCATGGGAGTTACAGGAAGTTCACGGTGGTTGGCAGTTGAGATTTATTCCCAGTAGGGAGTCGTTATTATTTCTGCCTTCTCCTTGGTGCTCAATGTCCAGGCCAGGTACAGGATGTAACCAGGGAGTGGTAACCAAGATGCGTCAGCGTGTAGTAGGGAACATAAACCTTAGCAGCACATATTATTACCAAAATTATTAAGGCATACATTTAATGCTCACATATAAAATGGCTTCTTTGATGCTTAACATTTAATCTGCCACTACATTCCCTCCTCCTGTTTGTACATACTTAAACGGTAGAGTGAGCATCAGGGTATTCAATTGCTAGAGGCTCATAATACTGAGATATAAACAGAAGTTTAACAGACTTAGTTTATATTTGAGCAGACTGTATTATGTGATTAAGGACACATGGTCTAATTAGGAGAAAGAATAGAAATATTAGGGGTCTTGAGATTCTAGTGAATAAGAAAGTTCACTAGGGATTCTTATTAAACCTTTTCTGAAACTAAGACTGTCTGAATTCTTATTCTGTTGTGCTTGAAGGTGTTTTATTTTGTTGTTGTTATTTTTTCAGAGTATTAACACTTGGCTGTTTGGCATAAAAACAACAGGTTTCTTTTAAAGTAGCATACAACCCCCACCCCCACTCTGCCCCAGAGAGAGAAACAGGATATGTAAATGTCATAGGTTCTCCAGTATAACTTTGGCTAGGGATTTAACTTGGTTATACAGAAGGGAAATGGCGCATTGAAAGCTGTTAAGATACTTGCATATTTCTCTTGACTACTGTTATGGTGGAGAGCTGCTGCTCTGGCAATACTGAGACCTGAAAGAACAGGTATTAAAGGAAAGGTGTATTTGGCAACATGGAGGCCTGGCAGATTAAGACATTTTAGCCTTTCTGGGCCACTATAAATATACATTTGAGAGAGGAATTAAACAAAGACACATACAATTGGTCTAGTTACTAGTGACCTTTGAAGACATTTTGTGAGGCTATCTGTACACCTTAGCTAAGTGCTATTAGGAGCAAAATGGGTTAGCAAAGTATCAAGAATGATAGTTTTCATACATACTGACTTACAGACTGCAGAGAGGCTCGGCAGCTAGGCAAAGCCTGCAATCAGAAGCAAGTCCAGGATGGGTCATGCTGAGGAACAGGTGCATTGCCGAGAGTATGGAGACCAGAGCGGACAGTAGGACTGCAGCTGGTGGCTGGTGATGAAAGGAGGAGCACTGGGTAGAGCAGGGTGCTGGTTGAAGATAGGACCTTTCAACTCAGCTGATGGTCCAATAGGCTTTACAACTCTCTGTATGGTATAGTTGACATTGAATGCTGAATGTTAGCTGAAGTGGTGTATATCATGGGTTAACAGACGGGTGCTATTTTTCCTCAGGAGAAATGAATCCACAGGTCTTGTAATTTTGACTACAGCAGGAGTAGTCAGAACTTATCACAGTCTGATTCACACAGGCTGCAGAGCTTTTTTACATTTTAACACGAACTGAGTTTTCCAGCTGAAAAGCTTGACAAAGGGTAGTTAATAGGATGGGGTCCCGGCTAAAACAGTAAGGTTAATGTGGAGCTTGGGTGAGATAAATACTTCCATTATTAAATTTAGTATGATAGGAAAATT